TGGCTGCCGGAAAGGTCAGTGATTGCATCCTCCATTTGCAGAGCCTGGTGCACGTCTAATAACGGCCATTGTCTCGGACGCCGCCAAGCTGCACATTTACGAGGAGGCCAACATTATTTGGGCGGCTCAGTGGCAGCAGCCGGCGCCTGTGGCCATACAGCGCTCCAATGTCCAGAGTCTGGCGGGCAGCATTGTCACTCTGACTGCCACGGGCCAGCTGACAGTTGGCTATTTGGGCGCCCAGCCGTATCAGTTCCAGGTGCTGCCGCTCAACATGGAGGAGCTGAGCTTTGCCGAGGCGCACAAGCAGCTGCAGCAGCTGGAGGATGAGATCAAGGAGTCGGTGGACATACGCGACATGGATGCACTGAATCAACAGGCTGCGGATCAGGTGCGTCTCCATTTTAGCATACAGCGTGAGGTGTTCGATGACTTGGACACGCTGCTCTTGGACGTGCCGGCGGATGTGGCCGTCAAGGAGCTGCCCTCGGCCAAGGGATTGCTCAGGCTGAAAGTCAAGACAGAGCTGGCAGAGCTGCAGCTGATCATACAAACGCCCAACGGCGTGCGCTGCAGCCAGGAGACACTCAGCCTGACGGATGTGCCAGCGGGCAGCACCCAGGAGCTAACGCTCGACTTTTACATAGCCGAACTGCTGCATGTGCACAGCACACGTGTCGAGGTCTTTGCCTCGTTTGTTAGCCCGCGGGTAAGCAGCAGGTGCAAGCAACTACTGCTCCTCTGACTAATCTTTGTGTCCTGCTCCGCCAGGGCATACCTCGGGTGCTGCAACAAAGTGCTCATCTGCCGCTATCCATGTTCTATCGCAGCTGCCAGCCACAGAAGGCGGCGGGCATCAAGCTGACCTACACCATCAACAGCAAGCATGTGCCGCCCAAGCTGGCCACCTTCTTTGGTGAGTTCCTGGAGGCGGAGAGCGATGCTCAGGCCCTGGGCCTGCAGCTGCTGTGCCCCGGCCTGGAAAAGCTAACCGAACTCATAACCGTGGTGGCAGCCAAGAACTCGAATCGAATCAGGTAAGCGTCCCATCTCAATTAGCTAGGCTTTACTGTAGCTGGCCATATTTTTGCACAGAATACAATCGGACTGTGTGGAAACGTTTGCCATGATCCTGGAACGCATTGTGAATACCACCCTGCAGCTGGACAGTGATGCGAGCCTGCTCAAAATGCACAAGAAGAAGCCCAAGCGAGGTGTACTCAATCGCTGTGTGGAGCGCATCATGGCCGCCCCCTTTATACCCGCCCAGCCCATACTGCATCGCGCCGATGTGCACCACGAGACACAGCAGAATATACGCAAGCAAACGGTATGTCCGAGCCAGGTGAAAGCCAGTTTATTTGTAGTCAACTGTTTTGACATTGCAGGAACAATTGGAGGCGCTATGGCAACAGTTCAAAAGCCTGCAGCGCCAGCTACAGGAACAATCGGAGAGCGAGCCGAAGGAGGCCCTCACCATGCAAATCGAGGCGAACTACGACCACCTGATACTGGAAGGCGATAAACTGGTCGAAATACGGCGGGACGAGCACAGGTAAGTTGTCTGTTCGACCCGTAATTACACACCCACGCATAATGCATACAGTGTCTAAAAACTGTTTTCCAACAGTTGCTGAAACACGAAATTCGATTTTTTTTATAGAGTATTCAATTTCACTTATCTCATAAATCATATATATATATATATATATATATATATATATATATATATATAAATTATATCAAAGGTTTTGTTGCACAATTTCCTAGCTAAATTTGATGCAAATTACGTTTTTTACCATGCTTTAGCCTTATTTTATTAAAATTCGACTCATAACTAATTTCCATATGAAAAATGTTCTGAAAATCCGGTTTTCAATGAAATATTTTATTTTTTTTACTATTCCATTTATTTATTTTTTCTAAATTTGTCTTGTGTTGGGAGTTATCTGAGTTTTCTTTCCAGGGATATATTCCTGATTTCTATCGCAAAGAAAATTGATTTTTATATTGATTTTTTTTCATTGAATATATTCATTTAATAATTTTAAAAATTGTTTTAAACATCGTTTCGCCGTTTCTAGCGCACTTTCTTGCCCGTCTTGTTTTGTTTTTTTTTTTTTTTTAATCAATTTTGTCAACTGGCTGAACTTATCTTAGAGCCACTGTGTTTAAGTGTATGTGTACCTGATGGTAATTGACAAATGAGTTGTTTATTTTTGTTTCGGCCCGTGTTCGGCTCGTGTCCAGGCAGCGCAGCGACCTCAACTGCGCCGTATCGTTAGCCAAATGGATAATACATGCATTGAACCTGGAGGAGCGGGTGGTGAATGTTGTCAGCTCGGTGCTGAGCGTGCCTGTAGAGGATTGGACAGAACTGGTGGGTAGTGAATGACGCATGTTTTGAAAAATGAAAGAAACTAAATAGATGTGCGTGCATAGAGCTGGGAGGAATCGATGGCGCCCGGCATCGATATGCTGCACCATTTCGGACCCTTGATGCGATCCAAGTCGACATCAACCCACGGCCTGCTGGATGGCAGCACCAACAAGGACAGCTTCGACTACAGTCGTTTCAGACGTCATTTCGCAACGCTCTTCGACCGCATAGTGCGCTTGGCCACATCCTCGACGGATGAGCAGGCGACCAAGCGGACCGCAAACACGGATCAACAAGTCGAACAGGTGCCGTCTGCACAACCGCTAAACGAGATTGGCAACATGCAGCGCATGTTGGGCGACAGCATGGCGCCAGTGGCACGCGCAGGCAAGACCCATTTGGGCACCTCACTGGAGGCTGTGGAGGACGAGGAGGAGGAGTACGATGAGGACGACTTGCGCGACATGGGCTACCGCAAGGACTATGGACCCGCAGACGCAGCCGGCGGCGAGCAGCAGCAAAGGCAGGGCAAACGCTCCGAGTGGGTCAACGAGGACTTCGAGCTGCCCACCACCGAGGAACTGTTCAGCGATTTGGGTATTTGGTGGTAGCCTCTACGCACACATCTAATTCATTCTTATTCAAGTAGATAAATCTTAAATATATATATGTTTGAACTATCAAAGAATAGACTTGCATTGGTTTATTACCTTGAGAATACAAGAATAAAGTATTCGATATGCAGAAAAGCTCAGGATTATGGAAATGGGCAGCATCATTTGACTAGCAACGGAGACTCTTCCCAATCTTAGCAGAGCTCGCCAGAGGATGGCATACAAAAAATGAAGCTACAAAAATGTAAATTAAATTGCTGAATGCAATAACTAGAAAAAAATATATAATGAACGATTTCTCTATCGGACATTGGTTGCAAATATTATGCAAGAACTAACATTGAGCAGTTATTTGCTGTGGTCTAATCGAAGGTTCCGGCTGGCAATAGAACTGGATTTGGTCTGGTTGCAGCGCGGGCTCCGCTCATGTGGGCGTGTGTATGAACTCGTTTATGATGCATCGCTGCGCAGATAAAACACGATAAAAGTCAAAGATATAGCTGCACGTTTACACACGCATTGTTCCAGGCCCAGCTGCAGTTCGCCTGGCCAGACTCTGTCAGACAGCCAGACGCTGCGCTGCGTCTGGCATGCATCGTGTGGGCTTTGATCCCCTGTCAACTGTGGTCTCTGGCCTGTGCCTGTGCCTCGAAATCCAAATCCCACACATGTAGCTGTAACTTATATGGAGTGTTCAGTTTAACCAGCCGCAGGCTCAACAATGCCTCGTAAATTGGCCGCAATTGAGTGAGAAATGTCGACATCCACGAGCCCAGCAGGAGTAAGTCCCTCCCTTCGCCGGCTGCCTGGCTGCGCCGAGTGCATTATGTTTGTGCTGTGATGCATTCCATTAGGTAGATAATAAAATGAAATTGGACGGGTTAGCTTAAGCTTCTATGACGCTGTCATACTCACGATTCTTCGGTTTAATGTGTAGATGTCTTAGACACACTTATTTTAAACGATTGACTCTCTTAATCTTTATAGAAATGAAGGTAAACAAGTTTATGATTTCTATTTTTCTGATATTGTGTGTGTTTGAAGGAAACATTAGGGCAGGGAGTTTAGTTTTAGTCCTCATCCAGATCAAGGTCACAAGGCTCAAAGTTTGGTATTAGCAAAGATATATATCATACAGTCTCTCCTCCTATTGCCTATCGCAATCTATACAAATGCGCCATGGATTTAACTCCTTTATGTTTTGGTTCCATAAGACAGACAGACGCTGCTCCTGACAGGCGACGTGTGTGCTCTGATCTTGGATAATTTGTAAACTGTAAATCAATTGAATGAGAAATTGCGACATTAATGAGCTCAGCGGGTAGTTACCTTGGGTGACCCGAGATGAGAGATACCGAGATACCTTAATCTCGATGCACCTTTTTGACTTAAATTAATTTTCTCAATTTAAGGTCAATCACATGCAGAGCGACAGCTTGTTAGGGATAAATACCGTACTTTAAGTAACTTGAGATTATAGAATTTCGCATATTTTAAATGCAATTTGATGCTATATATGTTTTTGGAGATCGTTGAATGAAGTTTTCGGCTAACCTTCTTTTCACGAAATTAGTCTGAATAACTTATGATTTTTTTTTTTGAAAAGGTGTTTATTATATTAATCGTTCATAAATCAGGCGAGCGCTTTTAATGCTTAATTATTAACAAATATCGTAAACATCGATTTGAAGCCCTATAAATTATGGTCGACTTGGGTTTGAGATCGAGCCTCTCGGGGGGAAGCCCACAATTCCAGGTTCCAAGTTTTGTCCCACTGTGCGAGTGCGAACTTTTCACAGCTTTTGTCGCGTGCGATTTAAATGATATTTAAATATTATATATTTACGGTATTGTTCATTAGCATTAAGTCAATTTGGCTGGCAATTAACAGCTTCATTCTTTGAACGGAAACGTGCATAAACAAATAAAAATGTGAAGAAATGTGAAAAGGCTGACAGAGGGATTCAACCGGAAGAAAGCGCCTCAAATCAAAACAAATCAAAGTATTTATATCTTTGGTAATCAATTTAATCAGTAATCATTGTAATTGGGATTGTATTGCTCTTTGAGCGAACACAATGCCGGGTACTTGGGATTCGCACCTGTTTCACACTCCGAGGCAGGTTCACCCACCTTGTAGACATGCACTCCCACGGCATAGGTGCTGGCATAGTTGCAGGCCATGTTGTAGATGTAAAGGAATGGGTATTGAGGATTTGTGAAGCGCATCATGGCACAGCCGACGTGCGTATTGCGATCCACCACAGTTTCCGCAAAGTGACCATATTTATCCCTGGGAAGCAGCTCGGTTAGTTGAGATATTAAAGCAGAACAGGGATTGACTCACAGATGCCTGGCCACACGAAATGAGGTTATGTAGCTGCTGTCGATGAGTGGATACTCGCCAAACCATAGACCCATCGAGTTCTCCACAATGCCCCGCACATTTAATGGCATATTCCGTTGCCGGTCCACACCGCACAGATTCTGACCGACATTGCGAAAGCGATACGAGTTATTGCAATCGTCGTGCTCCAGATGGCATGTCTTCAAGTTCAGGGTGGCCAAATATTCGAGCTCCTCGTCCCAGATCATTGTGGCCATGCGCGCTGCCGGATAGTAGCCGGGCAGAAGGCCCGCGGCAATAAAATTCCTCCGCTTGTTGTGCTCGGCCAGGATAAAGTCGCGATGTGGCTGCAAGTTGATCATGACCGCATCTGGCGCACATCTCTCATGGAATTCCTGCAGAGAAACTCAGTTAGTGGTGGCTGCTGCCGTTGCGACAGATCAAAACTTACGCCAGTATTGTTGCAGGCCACGTGGATGGTGCCCGCGGCACACAGCTGCTCATCGCACCAGGACTCCGTGCTGGCCACAAACGCTGTCAGGCTCAGCAGGCAGATGCATCCCAAATATGATCTCAGTGTCATGTTCTGGCCGCTGCAGTAAATGTATTGGAAATGCAAATTCTGGCAGCTGGCAGCGAAATATTTATATGAAAACGAACCGAAATCAAATTTTATTTTTGGATATTTCGAGCGTCCATTTGTAATAAGCAGCCGTCAGGTGCAGTTGCCCCAAACCCAAGTCGATGCGTCGGTTAAGGCAGGTCACGCTGCCTTTTACAAATTACAAGTGCACACACATTAACGGTCAAAATGTGTGAAGTGACGTCACAACACGTACAGAAATTAAACTAACCGCAACCTGCATGTTGCGATCGACTTGACAATTGGTTTACATTACGGTTTGTTGAACTTTTCTGGCCATCTCAGCTAAATGTTATTGTATTTGTTATTAATTAATTAACTTATATATTTCCAGATATGTATATACATCTTCAGCTGGAGCATTAATAAACACAGGCAAGGATTTCACAGAGAAACTCTTAAAATAGTTGGCAGCTCCTTAAACGGTACAAAAGCCGTGTCCCGCATTGCCAACTGCTTCAAAATGTCGCCAATATCAAAGCGATTGGCAATATTGTTATCGAATTGCAGTTATCGGTAGCTAGGATGACGATCGACGCGTGCAAAGCCTTTGCGATTTTTTGTTTTAGTTTTATTCAATTGAAAGTGATTAAGTTAAGTGCAAGTGTGTTTATTTGTGTGTTATTAAAGTGCAACTTAATCCTTCGCCATGCCGCCAAAGCGCGTGTCAAGTGCAAGTCCAGAATATCAAAACGGAGCGTCTTTGCCGCGCGTTGGCCAAACACAAACTGGCGGGAACTGCGGTAAGCCTGGGTTAAAAGCCTTTCTATTCTTATTTAACAAGTTGGTAGCCAAGTAAGTTCAAATTGCAGTTCAGCATAGGGTATAAACTGATGTTAATCTAAAAAAAAAAGGTAAACATTAGAGCACATTGAACTCAACTCTTCTGAGAAAACCAAACCATTAACTTGACTCAAACAAAGTTAAATGAAGTTCATGTAGCAGAGCTGACATCTAAGAAGGTTGCCCCAATGTGGGTGTTGCTTGCTGACTATGTGAATTTTAGTCGAAATTCATGTCAAAATCTTACCCCTTAGTTTCGTATATAGACACGATTTCCCCGAGATTTGGTTTTTTATGCTCAGTTTTCCCTCTTATATAATCTGGCATTAAAATCTGACTATGTGAATTTTAGTCGAAATTCATGTCAAAATCTTACCCCTTAGTTTCGTATATAGACACGATTTCCCCGAGATTTGGTTTTTTATGCTCAGTTTTCCCTCTTAAATAATCTGGCATTAAAATCTGACTATGTGAATTTTAGTCGAAATTCATGTCAAAATCTTACCCCTTAGTTTCGTATATGGACATGGCTCAATATTTCCCAACCCCATAACTCCGTCAAATCTCATCCGATTTCCCCTAGATTTGTTTTTTTATGCTCAGTTTTCCCTCTTAAATAATCTGGCATTAAAATCTGACTATGTGAATTTTAGTCGAAATTCATGTCAAAATCTTACCCCTCAGATTCGTAGATAGACATAAGTGGAATTTCCCAACCCCATAACTCGGTCAAATCTCATCCGAGTTCCCCGAGGTTTGGTTTTTTCCGCTCAGTTTTGCCTCTTAAATAATCTGGCATTAAAATCTGACTATGTGAATTTTAGTCGAAATGCATGTCAAAATCTTACCCCTTAGTTTCGTATATAGACACGATTTCCCCGAGATTTGGTTTTTTATGCTCAGTTTTCCCTCTTAAATAATCTGGCATTAAAATCTGACTATGTGAATTTTAGTCGAAATTCATGTCAAAATCTTACCCCTTAGTTTCGTATATGGACATGGCTCAATATTTCCCAACCCCATAACTCCGTCAAATCTCATCCGATTTCCCCTAGATTTGTTTTTTTATGCTCAGTTTTCCCTCTTAAATAATCTGGCATTAAAATCTGACTATGTGAATTTTAGTCGAAATTCATGTCAAAATCTTACCCCTCAGATTCGTAGATAGACATAAGTGGAATTTCCCAACCCCATAACTCGGTCAAATCTCATCCGAGTTCCCCGAGGTTTGGTTTTTTTCGCTCAGTTTTGCCTCTTAAATAATCTGGCATTCAAATCTGACTATGTGAATTTTAGTCGAAATTCATTTCAAAATCTTACCCCTTAGTTTCGTATATAGACATGGCTCAATATTTCCCAACCCCATAACTCCGTCAAATCTCATCCGATTTCCCCGAGATTTGGTTTTTTATGCTAAGTTTTCCCTCTTAAATAATCTGGCATTAAAATCTGACTATGTGAATTTTAGTCGAAATTCATGTCAACATCTTACCCCTTAGTTTCGTATATAGACATGGCTCAATATTTCCCAACCCCATAACTCCGTCAAATCTCATCCGATTTCCCCGAGATTTGGTTTTTTATGCTCAGTTTTCCCTTTTAAATAATCTGGCATTAAAATCTGATTATGTGAATTTTAGTCGAAATTCATGTCAAAATCTTACCCCTTAGTTTCGTATATAGACATGGCTCAATATTTCCCAACCCCATAACTCCGTCAAATCTCATCAGATTTTCACGAGGTTTGGCTTTTTATACACAGTTTTCCCTCTTAAATAATCTGGCATTAAAATCTGACTGTGTTTAAGTCGAAATTCATGTCAAAATCTTACCCCTTAGTTTCGTATATAGACATGGTTCAATATTTCCCAACCCCATAACTCCGTCAAATCTCATCCGATTTCCCCGAGATTTGGGTTTTTTATGCTCAGTTTTCCCTCTTAAATAATCTGGCATTAAAATCTGACTATGTGAATTTTTGTCGAAATTCATGTCAAAATCTTACCACTTAGTTTCGTATATAGACATGGGTCAAAATTTCCAAACCCCATAACTCGGCCAAACCTCATCCGATTTCCCCGAGGTTTGTTTTTTTATGCTCAGTTTTACCTCTTAAATAATCTGGCATTAAAATCTAACTATGTGAATTTAAGTCGAAATTCATGTCAAAATCTTACCCCTCAGATTCGTAGATAGACATAAGTGGAATTTCCCAACCCCATAACTCGGTGAAATCTCATCCGATTTTCCCGAGGTTTGGTTTTTTTCGCTCAGTTTTCCCTCTTAAATAATCCGGCATTCAAATCTGACTATGTGAATTTTAGTCGAAATTCATGTCAAAATCTTACCCCTCAGATTCGTAGATAGACATAAGTGGAATTTCCCAACCCCATAACTCCGTCAAATCTCATGCGATTTCCCCGAGATTTGGTTTTTTATGCTCAGTTTTCCCTCTTAAATAATCTGGCATTAAAATCTGACTATGTGAATTTAAGTCGAAATTCATGTCAAAATCTTACCCCTCAGATTCGTAGATAGACATAAGTGGAATTTCCCAACCCCATAACTCGGTCAAATCTCATCCGATTTCCCCGAGATTTGGTTTTTTATGCTCAGTTTCCCCTCTTAAATAATCCGGCATTAAAATCTGACTATGTGAATTTTCGTCGAAATTCATGTCAAAATCTTACCCCTTAATTTCGTATATAGACATGGCTCAATATTTCCCAACCCCATAACTCCGTCAAATCTCATCCGATTTCCCCGAGATTTGGTTTTTTATGCTCAGTTTTCCCTCTTAAATAATCTGGCATTAAAATCTGACTATGTGAATTTAAGTCGAAATTCATGTCAAAATCTTACCCCTCAGATTCGTAGATAGACATAAGTGGAATTTCCCAACCCCATAACTCGGTCAAATCTCATCCGATTTCCCCGAGATTTGGTTTTTTATGCTCAGTTTCCCCTCTTAAATAATCCGGCATTAAAATCTGACTATGTGAATTTTCGTCGAAATTCATGTCAAAATCTTACCCCTTAGTTTCGTATATAGACATGGCTCAATATTTCCCAACCCCATAACTCCGTCAAATCTCATCCGATTTCCCCGAGATTTGGTTTTTTATGCTCAGTTTCCCCTCTTAAATAATCCGGCATTAAAATCTGACTATGTGAATTTTAGTCGAAATTCATGTCAAAATCTTACCCCTCAGATTCGTAGATAGACATAAGTGGAATTTCCCAACCCCATAACTCGGTCAAATCTCATCCGATTTCCCCGAGATTTGGTTTTTTATGCTCAGTTTCCCCTCTTAAATAATCCGGCATTAAAATCTGACTATGTGAATTTTCGTCGAAATTCATGTCAAAATCTTACCCCTTAGTTTCGTATATAGACATGGCTCAATATTTCCCAACCCCATAACTCCGTCAAATCTCATCCGATTTCCCCGAGATTTGGTTTTTTATGCTCAGTTTTCCCTCTTAAATAATCTGGCATTAAAATCTGACTATGTGAATTTAAGTCGAAATTCATGTCAAAATCTTACCCCTCAGATTCGTAGATAGACATAAGTGGAATTTCCCAACCCCATAACTCGGTCAAATCTCATCCGATTTCCCCGAGATTTGGTTTTTTATGCTCAGTTTCCCCTCTTAAATAATCCGGCATTAAAATCTGACTATGTGAATTTTCGTCGAAATTCATGTCAAAATCTTACCCCTTAGTTTCGTATATAGACATGGCTCAATATTTCCCAACCCCATAACTCCGTCAAATCTCATCCGATTTCCCCGAGATTTGGTTTTTTATGCTCAGTTTCCCCTCTTAAATAATCCGGCATTAAAATCTGACTATGTGAATTTTCGTCGAAATTCATGTCAAAATCTTACCCCTCAGATTCGTAGATAGACATAAGTGGAATTTCCCAACCCCATAACTCGGTCAAATCTCATCCGATTTCCCCGAGATTTGGTTTTTTATGCTCAGTTTCCCCTCTTAAATAATCCGGCATTAAAATCTGACTATGTGAATTTTCGTCGAAATTCATGTCAAAATCTTACCCCTTAGTTTCGTATATAGACATGGCTCAATATTTCCCAACCCCATAACTCCGTCAAATCTCATCCGATTTCCCCGAGATTTGGTTTTTTATGCTCAGTTTTCCCTCTTAAATAATCTGGCATTAAAATCTGACTATGTGAATTTAAGTCGAAATTCATGTCAAAATCTTACCCCTCAGATTCGTAGATAGACATAAGTGGAATTTCCCAACCCCATAACTCGGTCAAATCTCATCCGATTTCCCCGAGATTTGGTTTTTTATGCTCAGTTTCCCCTCTTAAATAATCCGGCATTAAAATCTGACTATGTGAATTTTCGTCGAAATTCATGTCAAAATCTTACCCCTTAATTTCGTATATAGACATGGCTCAATATTTCCCAACCCCATAACTCGGTCAAATCTCATCCGATTTCCCCGAGATTTGGTTTTTTATGCTCAGTTTCCCCTCTTAAATAATCCGGCATTAAAATCTGACTATGTGAATTTTCGTCGAAATTCATGTCAAAATCTTACC